AGGTGCGGATATCCCGTGATGGTGATCCAAAATAGTGTCGGACACCCACACCTTGGCCAACAGCTCGAACACGACCTGGATGTTCCGGTCGTCCAATAGCAAGTGGTCAAGATATCCCGACGACCGAAGGGATGAAAGTTCCCGTGTACACTCGCTCCTCCAAGGCATCCTACATTATAAAAGTTAATTTTATTAATGAACAAGTTACATATAACTAATTCAGAGTAAATTAACTTCTTTTACTTACAATCCGAGCAGCAATTTCTCGGGCTTCCTGCGATGTCATGTCACCAGAAGGCTTTGTACGAGCCCTCTTCCACTTCTGGTGACGTTTTGGAGGAGATGGTGGAGGAATCTGCTCTTCGCTTAAACCAGAAGAGGCTAACTCCGACTGTCGAAGTCTCATCTTCTCCTCCATCATCTTCTTTGTCAATAGGTCGTACCCACCACGAGACAGAAGGTGGGGGGCGACATTCTTGCTCTGAATGTCTTTTGCTTTTTGTCTTCTTTCCTGCAACATAATTAAACACAATATTAGATACACAACTCATTATAAAATGTTCAAGTCAATTAAGGAATTAACATTACCTCCCACTCTGAACCAGTCCTACTATGTACAAACTTCTTCCAAGTCTCCTCATCTATGCCATATCTTTGGCAAGGGGTTAATCCCTTCCTCACTTTGTCCTCAGCATACACCCATTTAGTGGTCAATGTGGACTTGAACTGTCTCCACATTTTTGCTATGACTGTCATTATCTTCCTCCTCACATCCTTAGAATTGACTATATCAAAGTGTTCCTACAGTAGCAAACAAGTTTTAGTTAACCAATTGATAATAATGTATAAACAACTAAATACACATACTTACAAGAAGATCTTGCCATAACAAGTTCTTCACAGTTTCCTCCACATGATCCCAAGTAGGATGGAGAATAGATATCTACACAACATAAACAACATAAGTATCAACAATATATTTGAAATGAAATTAACTTTGAAATAGAATAAATACCTTCTCTCTAGCTAGTGTACCCAAGTAGCTACTAAATTGGGTACTAAAGGGACCTGACACCTTGCCAGTCCTAGGATCAACAGACACAGATAACTTCTGGCCAGATATGTGTCTAACGGTCAAGCCTTTCAACCGTGTAGATTGTCGACTCCTCTTACTGGAAAATGTCTTTCCAGATGCCTGAGGAGATGGTGGTGGAGATGGTGGAGATGGTGGAGGAGATGGTGAAGGACATGCCATTTACCTGTAATGAAAAAAACATAGAATTATATCAATACACATGCAAAGTCTCCTCAATTATATGTTAAAAAAATAAACAAATAGAAACTTTTGCCCATCACATGTTTTTCTCTTTGAATGCCAAATTAAATTTTCAGCATCTTCGTGAGCGTACAACCGCCTAAATCTTGGAATTATTGGAAGATACCATAAAACTTTTGCAGGAGGACATTTTTTACCACTCTCCTGACTACAATCATCACCATCCTTCGCTTTGTAACGTGATACACCACACGTTGGACATTGGTCTAAAGATGAGAATTCATTCCTATATAAGACACAATCATTAGGGCAAGCATGTATCTTCCTATATTCTAAACCCATCGGACATAGTATCTTCTTCACTTCATACATACGGTCCGGCAAGGTGTTATTGTCTGGGAGCATCTCCTTCAAAAGTTGGAGTAATTCATTAAAACTTGTATCACTCCAACCAAATTTTGATTTTAGATTGACCAATCTTAACACAGATGACAACCGTGTGAAAGTTGTACATCCGGGATACAAAGGTGTCTCTGAATCGGTCCTCAATGTATCATATATAGATGCATGTGCTTCAAGAAAACACTCTTGACCCACATCACAAAGCATGTCCTCTATTCGATCTTTGCAGGTTACATCATCCTCAATAGTTTGTGATACTGTTGGAATATCAACCACTTCACCGTGCCATGTCCATATGGTGTAATTCTTCATCATCCCATCGCAAATAAGATGTTCCCGCGTTGTGTCCATCTCTTGTACTCTCCCATTTACACAATTAACGCATGGACAATAAATTTTTCCATTCATTTTGGGAGCATTTTGTTAGGCAAATTTCAAAAAGGAGTCAACTCCATTCTCATACTCTTCTGACATGCGACTTGCATTGACCCAAGTTCGATCCATCTAACTACACAAAAAGGCTTGCCTAGATATTCAAGGTTTATTAGAAAAAGTTTAGCAAAACAATACAAAAAAATTTGTGTACATCTCATTTCCCACATCAAGATTGGGAAAATAAAACGTGTACATCTACATGAAAGAGTATATACCGCTTCGAAACCGAAAACAAACTTCCAAAATCCTAAACGAACCTATATCAAATCAAACCATACAAAATCATCCATCATCTTTCTAATGTTCATACGCAGGAAATGCTGTAAATAATCCATATTATGTTAAATGCATGCTGTAAATCATCCATACAACTTAATCTAACCTGATGAGAAGGGGTTTCCTTAGGGAAACGAGGGCTACCACACACACGGCAACAACGGGGGTACGCCGCGTAAGAGCGCGGTGAGTGGGCGGCGAAGGGGCGGCGAGGGGGCAGAGCACGGCAGTGAGGACTGAGGCAGCAGACCACAGCGAACTGAGGTAGCAGTGCACAACAGTGAGGACTGAAGGAGGGAGGTATGTGGGCACGAAGAAGAAGAAGGAGGGAGGTTTGTGGGCACGAAGAAGAAATAGAAGAACAACTTCGCGCCTTGGAGTCTAGGTATCATAGGACATTCAACGTCGGTTATTAAAAAACCCGACGTGGATAATGCTTTCGACGTCGGGTAAATCATGAAACCGACGTTGATTTTGGGATTTCAACGTCGGTTATACATAACCGACGTTAAATTTAAACATTTAACGTCGTCTGTCATCTAACCGACGTTATTTTTCATTACTACGTCGGATTTTTTATAACCGACGTTAAATATTGTTTCTTAATTACAAGTTTGCCACCGCGTCTTGTACAACGTCGGTCTTCATAAAAACCGACGTTGGATGCTGTCGTAGTAAGTGTTTTGTGTAGTAGTGTGAATTAAAACTTCAACTTTTACACACTGGATTGCATTATAGGTGTGTATAAATAGAGGTGCTTAGAGTAAGCTTGAATTGGAATTAAATTGTAAATGAATCAATCTTAAGGAAATATCATTTTTAAATATATAATAATACATTGTACACTCATATTAATAAAAATAAAGTAATAGTTACATAAAATATAAAATATAAATTTATTTTATATTTAAAAGTATTATAAAAACAAGTCAAAATATTATATTTAAGTTTAATAATAATGAATAAAAGTATTAATTTTTTAAAAGAAAATTAACTATATAAAAAATATATGTAAAATATTTTAATCCGCTCTTTTTTTTCCATCATCGGTTTGATTGATTCTATTGTGATTTGATTAAATTTTGGTTACTTGAAATATTTGGATAAAGGTTTGTCTAGTACAATTTTTATAAGTATGCTTTAAATTATATTTTGAAGTTTGTAAAATCATGAATATATATATATATATATATATATATATATATATATATATATATTATTCAGTAAATTTAAATTAAATTTAAAAATTATTTTAGTAAAATATCGTGGAGTATAATATATCTATATTATATGTAATATATATATTATTAAAAGATAATTCTTCCTTAGACGATATTTGTGATTAAGAACGTTCACCGTGCGTTTTTATTGAGTTTTATGTTAAAGAATTATTTAAATTAAACATAAAATTTAAATAAATTAGATATTTTTTTAAATTCAAAACAAATCAAATTAATATCTTATAATTTAGTTTGAGTGGTTTTTAAATTTTTTTTATCATAAATTTATTAAATATATTATAATAAATTAATTGTGATATTTATAAATTTAATTTATTTTCGTATATTTCTACAATTAATTTTAAAAATAATATATTTTTTTTACAATTTAAAAAACTAATAATTCACTTATCATTTTATATTTTAATTTTAGTAATATATATATATATATATATATATATATATTAATATCAATTTGGATTGATCGCACTCTATCAAATAAAAAAAATGAAAGCATTGTTAATCCATATTTTTTAAATTAATTTTAAATTTTTTGTTTAAATCAAATTTTTATTTTATTTTTAGATTTATTTGATTTTTAACTCCGTTATTCATCACTAAGGATGTTCATCGGATTAAACTTAGGCTAGAAACTTGATATATACAATCTCATTATCAAATTTAAAATATGAAAAAAAATTAAAGTAGAGAATCAAAGTAAACTCAATCTAGTATAGTATGATAAATATCGCAGTCACTATCTGGCTTCGAGTACAAATATTTGGAAAATGGTACGAAAATTATATTCTTATCTTACAGGATGTTTGTAGAATAAAAATAATGAGATTATTCTTGAGCGTAATAGTTTTTAAACAGTTTATATATAAATGTTGTTTTAAATTTTGTATGTAAATTGGTACTTTTTAAGAATCTTGTTTTACAACAAAATTTGGTTTGAAGTAAAAGATGGTTTTTCCAAAGAGGGAACTTGATGGGTTAAAATACAACACAGAAGCACGCAAAGTTTTGGAGAGAATGAGATTAGATTATTTTGAGAATTCAAGTGTATATAGATAGAAATGAAAAAAATCGAATAACTTATAACACCCGTAAGCTAAGGTTCTGGTTTGATGATGATGACGATGAGATATTCTCTTGAGAATATCCTTGTTAATAACCCATTCGAAATACCTACAAGATTATATAACGTCTGATATGTAAGCAGCTTTCATATAAGAGTTGTTCCCACAGGTTTGGGACCATTAATGGGGTGGCGAAGGCAAGGACACAAACTGGGTCTACAATACATACACATAGTTGTTACTCTGCTGTGCTAGAACAGCTAAGGAGATCCAGGTTGTAAGGAATTGGGGTCCATCATCGTGATGAGGATGACATGTTCTGTTTTATTGGTAGAGATTATCAATGGAATGGAGGAAACCATGGCATGGGATTCGAGGTCCACTTATTTTATGTAATGCTTTTGCCTGACCCACATTCTAAAATCCAATTTTACGTACCACATGCCAGTATACTATACTATACACTTTTTTTCTTTTGGTTTTGAAGTTTTTCACTACTTTATCTACTTCATGTTAGATCCTTTTCCCTAAGACGAGGTAGAGTGGGGATGTTTGTAATTTCTTGAATGGGTCTGCTAATTATGATGCTTTTGTTTGTTGTGTATGACAGTGGCAATTGGGTCCTGGAATTTATTCAGAGAATAAATTGAAATTTACAAAACTAGCTAACAATATAAAGTAGCTATTTAAGTTTAGCTCTGCTTCTGCTATGACACATGTTGTGTCTTAACTTGTTATTGTTAATGAAATGACAAGTTTTACAAGATGGCCTGATGCTGTACCCATGGCAGGGTCAATGTTTCCTCTTGGGTACTGTTTGATTGGTGCAGCCATTATTGGTCCGTTTTTTTCCTTTACTTTTGGATCTACCCTTGTTTCGTTCTCATTCTCCTCCTATTATTGCCAATTATTGTTTTATCCACAATTCAACAGGTAAGGTTGGTCCTTGTGCTGCAACTGCATATCTCAATACCTACCCATTAGTTTGCGATTGCTAGCTCTTTCTTTTCCTCGCTCCTTGTTTGTTTTCCACGCTGCAGCATATCATATGCTTCTTGTTGACTTCATGCAGAAAAATATATGCCACCAATGCCCCACTATGTCAATAAGAGGGAATCATATTTGGCGCTGCTTCGGTACAAACATCACAACAACGTAAATAATCAAAACACACCAAAATAAACAACCCCACAACCAAGAGAGAAATATTTTACATTTAAAGGATATCTTTTTTCTTACATGCCCATCTCCTTATTCAACTGAAAGGGAAAAAAGAAAAAATTGAATCAGAAGACAAAATAGAACCCCAAACTTCAATCTTCTATAGCACGTCAGTTTACTTTTTCAAAATAAAAAAAACGTTTCTTTCAAATAGATTAAACATAGCATACAGCTGTTCATTTATAATACATTGTTGCATTAGGGACAACAAATAAAACTCACGTCACAGTCATATCGACGGACACTCCAATTTTTATATATATAAGATTTTTTATAATTTTTTTTATTTGATTCCTCTAGAAACTTTTACTATATAGTTCCGCTGTTATGGAGATTTGGTTCAATTAAATAACACTGGAAAAAATAAAATAAGAGAAGAGGAAGTAGATAGGTTAAAAGAGAGAGAAAAAAAAATAGAGATTTTTTAGATGAAAAGTTAAAACATAAAAAAGGAAAATTGGGCAGAATATGATGTTAAACATATAGAAAATCAGTAACAAGAAAAAAGTTAGTATAGGAAAGCACATGTGGATAGTGCAAATTTCTTTTCCTTTTCTACCCTTTTTGCAAGAAACACCATTTTTTTTTTATAAAAGTCATGCCTATTTTGGTTTCGTTATCGCTTCCAAACATGGTCCAAACACAATGTTAAGTAATGTGAAATAAACTAAAAGATTAGAAGGTTAAGTAATGAACAAATTTTAGTTTTAGTGTTTGTAAAAACATTTACTTGCAACACAATTTTACATGTGTGCAACATTTGACTCGTGATTCAAGAGGTGTTCATATGAAAGTGATTTTTTTTTTTAAATTATTAACCTAGAACTAAACATAATTTCAAAATTTATCTGTTTAATATATTGAAACAAATAGGTGAATCTATTTTATATGTTTTAAAATTGCTTATTTTCAACTTATACATCTTATAAATGTTCATCGATATCTATAAATATTTAGATTATGTTCATCGATTCTTTTATAAATTGTATGGCTTTACGTAATTGGTACCTATTTTCATTCTTATTTCTACGATTGTAGTACTTGGTACGTAGTTAAGTATATATCAGTTAAGTAGCTAAAACAATAAATTGTATATAATGATTAATACTTATATATATATTTGAATTAAAATTAAGAAAAAAATGGGCTGTATTTGTATATTTATTATGTTAAAGGGAAACATTTATGTGACTGATGGGCATAAATAATAATTGGATCATATGCCTAACTACATTTCGTTATAATTTTAAGAAACACTCATTATTGGTGTAATTCTAATAATGGCACCCGAACATTCTTCTCCTAATTAGACAAAAAAAATTTAAACATAACTTCTTAATTATTGCTTTGTTACACCAGAAAAACGGCCCAATAGCTGAATTTCAATCGTGTTCTAGTTTTTATTTTTATTTTTATAAAATCATAAGTATTATTTTTATGAGATACTGCTGTTGAAGAATTGAGCTGAATGAAAATTGTAGAAGTAAGAAAGGTTTTAAAAATGATTTAATACAACTATATGTCTCATACTTAAACTTGAAATGAATGATTAAATTGAAAATATTGGGTGTGAATTTATGTTCGGAACTGATTTTTAAAAAATAAAGTGAGGAAAACTTAGGATTCCCACAAAGTATGCACTTTTTCCAGGGTGGCCATTTATTGCTTATCCTTACACAATAAGATCCTTTAGATATAAATAAAATGATTGAAGGAATTGCAGGGTCAGTTGGCAATCTGAGTAATTGCAAGTTTGAATATTGATTAAACAAAAAAGTTGGAGATTAAAAATAAAAAAATTCATGGGAAACGCTTTCCATTCTCAAAGACATGTTTGTACATTGGGAGGCAAAGTGTGACGCACATCACTAAAGATTCTCTTAAACTACCATTCTTGGATAAGGTTTTTCCTGTGTTTCACTTCCACAAAAAGCTCGGTGGCTATGCTCTATTTCCTGCGGAACAGTACATAATAACTATTTTTCTTATCTGTAAAGCTAGTTCTTTTCACTCAATGTTACAATGGGTTTTAGCATCATCACCATTTCCATAATTCTTTGAGTAATAACTTGGATATTCTCTAATCTATTTTTATTTTTTGAAGCTGTGAATATTTAAGTCCAAGCATTATGTGCAGCAGCCATTTGATTTTTTGCCTCGTATTCCTCTGATGGTTATCCATTGTGGTTATCTTTCCAAGGGCTTCTCTGCCAAAACTGAGGGAAACTCTGTGGGATGCACGTGTCTTGTTGATGAAATTTCACGTGGAGATGGTGACCCATGTGTAGTGTAGCTTTCGCTTTGCGAGCCAACAGTAATAATACACTAACATATACATATTGCTATGCATGTGTAAGCTTCAATTTCAACGGATTTCTGGCCAACAAGGCCAGCTTAATAAGGGTGTGATTTTTCCTCACTCTTCTGCTTAGCTCAAAAGCTTTCCCAATAATGCATCTTGCTCACCAAATTCAAATTCAAATTTTTGGATACACTATCATATGCTGCAGCTACCTTTCAATTTAATACTGCTTATTTTTCTTTCTTTATAAATGACTTATCTATCTCTTACTAATCATTTAGTCTTTTTAAATACAAACATTATGTGCTATATGTGTCTATTAATTCTCTGAATCTGTCAGTTAATTGTATATAAACGAGAGAATCTGTCAGCTAAACATTATATTAAACTTGATCTGGCCGTTAAGTCACATTGGAGTTATATAAATATAAAACTATCAAGTCTAAAACCGTGATGAATCATAATAAATTGTTGAAGTATGTAGAAGACTTAGATCAGGCTACAAAAGTTGACAAGTGGCACCCAGAGAAGGATTCTTCTTCCATCAAGTCATACTAAGGTTTTGACACATGAGGACTATACTACTGGTTTCCCGGTCATCAATCAGTAAGACACAGATGTAATGAAGTTTTTTAAGAATGGGAATAAAAAAACGAGAAGCTGGCAAACTGATATCTGAGAGGTAATGTCAAACTGCACTGAAAATTATAGCTGACCACTCGTAGAACATTAATCGGAAATCACTACAAATCCAAAAACAACACCATTGGGTGCACTAATGCGTATACAATTTTATGGGATCAGATTCCCTCAGTTAGGAATATTCTGCATCATACGTTCCACTATAATCAGAATCATTGGATAACAATCAAACTATTCATGTATTTATTTTATAAATCCAACTTAAAATATGTATTTGCAGAAATGAGTACACAATTAACGATTCTGATATATGAACGTATGAATGTATGAATATATGGTGTGAACGGTATCAGATTTGGTCTTGGAAGTGTCACATGAGAAAAAGTCAAAATTGAAGATGGTTGATGGCAGGCCGGGAAAGTGGACCAATTAAACTCATTTTTTCGAGCTGCTGACATTTGACATTTCTTAGGGCTGGTCCTCATCATCAGTGATTCAGCAAACAAACTCTTCCCAATAAGTTAAACATTTTGTGCAAACATTAATTTAACCAGCCTTGTGGGCTCTATGTGAGTCATCCTTCGCAATCTTGTGTCATAGCTTTTAATTAGCTGCCCCAAAGATAAAAGCCTTTCTAACTAGGACCACTGAATTCAACATCAAAAGGAAGTACCAAAAACATGTTATTGGTCTTTCCTCTTCCAGAGGTTGGTACTTAACATAGATGATAGAAGCATCCCCAATAATTGGAAACATTTTAAGAAATAGAAGTGAAAAAGTAGACGTGAAAAGATGCAATGCCTCGTGGAGTGTACCCCTTTTTTCTCTTCATTTTCAGCCCCTTATAGTATATTATAAGTCATCCTTTGTTAAAGTTAGTCCTTTGAATAATGACTGGTTGTGGATGGAAAAGGAAAGCCCTACTCAAGAAGCTAGTTTGCTTCTTCTATTCCTTGTTCATACTTCTTATCTAGCAAGAAATATTCTCCTCTAACCAATCCCTTCTTAAAGCCTTCACTTCAATTGTTTTGATGGAGCTTGAAGCATAATTGTTAAAGTAGAAACTTGAATTCAAAGTCAAGCATCATTTTAGAATCTACATATTCGGGTAACATCGTGGTTGTGGATCAATTTTATTCGTGAATTTGGTAAAGATAAGAAAAGTTACACAAAATGTAAGATAAAAACTGGTGTTGCTTATTAGTTCCACATGTCTGTATTGGCACGATGCAATAATTTTGTTGACACAGAGATAGTAATGAAAACAGGCAAAGTTTTTCTATCGATATGGTATATATTTTTTCCTTTTTTATTGTACTGCATAATTATTATACTTGAAAGCTATCTTGAACACTGGAAGTCCTTCATTCCAGCTGAATAATACAAATCAAAGCGTGGAATTTGCGACTCCATATTTTCAGAACATGGGAACTTGAATTAAATGCTTTACTATGTTCAATTGGCTTCGTATAACCTATGTGTCAACATCAAGGCCATTTCCAATGTCAAAGCTTTACTCCATATTTTTATTTTTATTGTATTGTTTCCACTAAGCTCCTTTTGGTCCACACATATGCCACCTTCTGTCATCAATTTGGGTCATTATTGGTTTACATGTCACATGATTGCCTTAATATAAGATGGGAGACACCCTTTTTGTTTTTGATACAAGATGGGAGCCTCACATTTTATTTATTTATTTATTATATAAGAGGCTCATTTTGTTCGAAGCCAAGTTCCATTCTGGTTTTTCTTTCCCCATTTGGGAAAATAGTGACCTGTTAATACATGTAATTTCCCTAACGTCTTACCTCATCTGTTTCATTTTTTTAATTTACATTTAAACAACTGTATCATATTCCTTCAAACAATAATATAAGAGTCTTGTACTTTTATTGAATTCAATATAAAAGACATGAGAAACAAATATACTTCCTGTTATTTTTTACAAAAACTTGTCACATTTTATTTGTTACATTTTAAAGTTCAAAGTCATCTTAATTTTATTCTGATAATTAATAAATATGATTTAAATTAATAAACATGAGAGATAAGGCATAATAAGAAATGAATATAAAATTTTAATAAAATCAAGAATATTTATTATATTCTTTACTATATATGCATAAAAAATTGGAGGAAGTACTAACATTTAGCCTAAGGAGAGATTAAGATCATTAAGAATTTAAGTGAAAATATAGTGTAATATTAAAATATTAATTTGTATCGTTCGGGTGGCACACTTTTTTTTTAATCTATTTATAATAATAATAATTAATAGTGTCTCATAACTTTGTATTATTGTCTTTTTAAAAATACATTAATGTGTTTATATATTAAGGTCAGAATTTACCAAGTTGATTCAACATATTAGGTGAGTTGTAAATCTAAGTTGTTGAAGCTGCCGTTAAAAATGAATGGAGTTCTGCAGATCGTGGTAAAAAAGCTCATTATTATTACCAATCTTACAATTACATCAACAAACGTATACATTAGTCTTGTATGGATAAAAATACATGTAAAAAGGAATGGTAAGCAGAACAGTGATGAATGGGAGAGAGAAGAATATATGTACCTAATCTCTCCTCCAAAAATCGCAACCAACCCTATGACTTTATTGGCTGTGATTGATGACACAATCTAACATGTCCGGTATTGGAAGCCATGTCATATCAACAAGTTGCGGTTTGAGTTGATGGTTCCTTTGAACCAAAACAGCAAATGTCTCCGGCATACTATGATTCTATCTATCTCATACACTTATGTGCATGGGCTGAGATTATTTAGCAGGTACTGTGTATATTTTGCAGCAAAAGGCAAGGAATAAAAATGGGAGGAATATGTTTAAAAAAAGTTCAGGACTTGATGATTCCAAGTGTGTGTGCCTGAAGTGCGAAAGAGTGTTTAACATCACCAATGTGAAGACTGTGCAAACCCATTGGAATTCTCCGAGTCCCGGAGGCGTCAACCACACTGAGGAGCTTGCAAACATGAATGTTGATACGCACTCGGTGTTGGGCCTTGGCAGGAACGTGTACTTTGTGGAATGCCACCAGTTGCTTGTGTGGAGCCCAGTGGCCATTACCTGCAGGTGGTGCTGAGAACACTAACAACGTGTGCGTGCCATCTCTGGAACCAACATTTTTAACGTCCACGTGAAGGCTAATAGAAAGCTTGCCACATCGTGCATGTGTCACTTTAATTGCCTTGTTCGCAATGTTGGAGCTATTGCCGTGCCTGTGTCCATCCACTGGAATTGATACCACTTTGGGTGCACTAGCCAATGTATGAACGAAATGGGTGTACGACAATCCGTAACCAAATGGATACACCACTGGCCCATTGTAAAATCTATAGGTTCTTCCAGGGTACCCTTTCGATCTGCTTGATCGCATTGCCATATTTGTCATTGCCAACTTTTCAACATACTCTTGTGGGTACCATGTCATAGGTACCTTCCCTCCTGAAATTAAAACATATAACAAACAATGTTGTCATGTAGTTTCTTCGGCCTACGAGGGCCATTTTGAGAAGAGAGAAAAACAAGACAAACCAGGGTTAGACGTTCCAAACACGATGTCTGCAATGGCAGCACCACCAGCTTGACCGGGATAACCGGCCCACAAGATTCCTTGGATTCCAGGATCATTCTTTGCAAAACTTATATCCACAGGCCCACCAGACATTATGACCAAAATTGTTGGGCCCTTGGAGGCTGCTGCTACTTTGGAGGCAAGGTCTTGTTGACGACCAGGAAGAAGCAGGCCAGCCCTGTCCACAGTTTCAGCCTCGATGGACTGGTCCAGGCCCATGACTAGCACGGTTGCATCTGCTTGTTGGGCTGCATTGATAGCTCTCCCAAACAGCTTGTCATCTGTACAAGCCACGTTTGCACAACCCAGCTCGTGAATAGTGTTGGCGTATTTCGCTATTCCCTGTAAAGGGCTTGTGTATCCACAAGCAATACCTAATAAGCAGGTGAAGAAATGGTTAGTAAGAGAGTCTGAAGGGTTTATTTTTAGGGTTTGAAAAGAAGGAGTTACCAGCATAGTTTCCAATCATTGTGACAGTGACATTAGAATTGGGTCCAATAACAGCCAGGGTGCGGTGACGCCTTGTGGAGAGAGGCAAAGAAGGGCCTTTGTTTTTGAGTAGCACAATTCCTTGTCTTGCGGCTTCAAGAGCAAGCTCTTGATGACTTGGGGTGCAAACATCACTTGGCCCGAGGTTGCCATATGGATGACCTGATGGATCACCATCATACATCCCTAGCCTCATTTGGACCGTCAATGTGTTGGCCAAGGCCCCATCCACATCAGCTTCTCTTAACAGGCCTTTCCGCACAGCATTCTGCGTATGCTGGGCTAGGAAAGGCCCACAATCCAAATCCAGACCTGTAACATGATCCACTATAAAGTGTTATGTCTCCCCCACCACACCATCTTAATAATAACGAGGAGAAAAGAAGAAGAGTAATTGGAGCTAGCCTGCTTTAATGGCATCCGCAGCAGCTTCTTCAGGGGTAGATGTGTAATGTTGGGCGTTGTAAAACACCCCAACAGAGTCACAGTCTGATACAATGTACCTGAAGCAGAGCAAAAACAGTAAGATTTGTTGGAGAGCGAATGATGATTATTGGGCTATGCTATGATGGGAGGGTGAGCTTACCCATTGAGACCCCAAAGGCCACGAACTGTTCTCTTAAGGAGGACGGGGTCGGCACAGGTAGGAACACCGTTAACCTGATTGTAAGAACACATCACACTCGCCACTTTTCCTTCCTTCACACACATCCTGAATGGCACGTTGAACGTGTCCTCGATATCCTGCTTGCTAACCTCTGCATTAAAGTGAAACCGATCCACGCCCTTCCAATTATCAAGGTCGTAAGCCGTGAAGTGCTTGCAAGAAGCAGCCACCTTGAGTCGGTTACCGTCGGTTCCCTGTAGTCCCCTCACGTAACTGGCTGCATATTTACCGGCTAGTATTGGGTCCTCACCGGGAGTCTCCTGTCCCCGGCCCCACCGTGGGTCTCTAAATATGTTCACGTTCGGGCTCCAGTATGTAAGCCCACTGCTTCCTCCGTTGTACATCGCTCTTGCTTCGTCTGAGGCAACCTGCACATTCCCGCTTCTATTCAGGGCAACACCGACACATTTCATAATAATGTAACTTTCTTTCTGGAGTGTCATCTTGTCTTACTAGAAAAGACCAATCGATGAATGAATGATGTGAGTATCCAAGAAAAGTCCCACTCACTCCACTTGTTCAATTTGTTGACTAAAGTCGTGAGAAAGAAAAATGTGTGACATCTACATTATTTTTTTCGCCGCTAAATTAAATTTGTATTTTGTCAATTTCTTTCCCTTTAATTTTTTCTACATCAACCAAACATAAAGAAAATATGCACCTCAACAAAAAATATTAATTATACAAATTAATGTGATTATTAAAATAGGAAGAGAAAATATGAAATAATATAAAAAAATAGAGAGGAAGAGAGATGTTAATTAAATATTCAAAAATAATGAATGTAATTCTATCTAGGTTTTTATATTATCTGAAAATATGACGTATTATTCTATCTATTAATTCTTTTCCAAGGATATATTAGCATGTGTAGGAATAAAAAAATATTTTTTTATAAATCTCAAAAATGATATAAATATATGTATATATGTATACTTTGGAAAAAGATATTTACAAACAACCCATAAAATAACAGCATTTTATATTATAATAATAATTTTAATTTTTATTAAATCATTTTCATAATTATTATATAAAATGAGTTATTTTTGGAATTGTTTTCTTGAATGGTTGTGATGGTTCTGTATACTTTGTGTGATTGAATTGCAGGGAAAAGAAAAGAAGAGCTTACCCGTCCAAGAGCTTCCCAGAGAGAAGCATTGAAAGCAGCAGCGGTAGTGATGACTTGAGGGAAGCTAGTGGCGGCGGGGAAGCGGCCACCAAACTTGGTTCCGGGGCCCACATTTGAGACCCCATGCAGAGCCTCCGACCACCACTCATAGCCTTTGATTCCAAGCCGTGGAACTGCCGCAGCATTGTTCACGAGCAACCTCACTTTCTCTTCCACTGCCAACCTCCCAATCAGGTCCTTCACCCTCTCTGCTATTCCCAACGACGCCTTGCAAAACGGTAAGCTCCTTGTGCCTGCGTTCTTTGGGTCACACGCAAAAGGGTCACGTGCCTGGCCACCCCTAAGGAGGACTAAGAGGAAGATGATAGTGGTGAGAGGTGGAAAGATTGAAGCCATTTGGGAAAGGGAGATAAAAAGTGGAATGTTGCTTAGGCGTTAATTATGGGAGGGATGGAACAATATGTATTTATATAGGTGAGGGGACATCATGGCTTGTTCAATGCCATGTTGTTTGAGATACAAGTTGCTGTTACCTGGCTTTCAGCCATTGGATTTTCCATTACCTTTTTACCTTCATCTTCTTAGGAAATGAAGCAACTTGGCTGGTGAGATTTAATGTAAGTTGGTGACTAACAAAAAAAAGTTGTGTGTCAATTTGTCAAATTAAAAACTCAGAGAATTCACCTGCCGTATGTGGGTTTTAAATTAAAATCACCGAATACTATTACTTTCTTATTCTTCACGAAAGTGAATTTGGCATATTTACAATCACAACCATTCTGGTGTGTTTTTAATATTTGTTTTACAATCACAACCACGGAATGTCTTTAGTCATATATATGGGTCCAACAACACTTGGGTGGACATTAGTGATCCTATTCCTTGGGTATTGTTGATCCTATTCCTTGAGTATGGTTGGTCCTACTCGTCAGACATTAATAATTACAACAAATGTGTAGTGTTGCTAGGTGGAGTGCAGAAGATTGACTTTCTTTATTTTAGTGGAAACATTTTCAAAATGTTTATCTGGCAAGCATAACTTATCTTGCCCAGTAAAATGATTAGGTGGTCCAAAATTTCTTGTTACGTCTGGTTTAGAAGCTAAAGAAGCTTTGGCCAGAATCAAGAAACAGCTTTCATCACCGAAATCACCAATGCTGATGGCAACTCATGACAATTGGTGATAGGCGTTATTAATGAACCGATTTCACCCTTTGCCATTTATCACCAATATTGAGAAGATATTTTGACTTTTTTGCTTGGTACCAATTTACATAATTGGAGTTTATTAATTTCTGTGGTATTATTATACTGAAATCAATTATTGCCGTGATTGGTAGTTTGCTACCAATGTCAAATCATTGTAAGCAATTTCATCATTCGTGCATGAGTTGCTCGATGGTTTTTGTTTTACTCTTGAGCTGTTAACTTACAAAATGGACCCAACCAGAGCTAGCTTGAGTATATCACACACATTATTCGAAGGTAGTTGATATAGAAATCAGAGACACTATCAGAGACATCAAAACTAAGTGGAGTCCAGTTCAACAGAAATTACAGGGTCAAGAAAGTATAAGCTAAATTCCAATAAAATATTGTCCAATTTTAATTTAGATATTTACAGAAGAAGCTTAGTTTACAAGTGAGGTTCGGATCTGGGACAGATTTTGTCTCAGATCATATCTTATTTCAAACCTAGAGCTAGCCAAAATGGTGGATATCTAATATATGCACTATGACATATAATTGCATAATCCGAAAGATAGAAGAAATTAAAAAGAGGAAAGCTAAGCATTGTTTTGCATGTTCTTTTCCCCCTCAATTATATGAATAAGTAGACCTAGATCAGGAGAAACAGTGAAAGGAGAACTACACAGATATCAATTTTAGGTGGGAAACGAGGTTGCACATATTACACGCTATGAATTGGAAACATTTTTTAATCATTCTTATCACAACCTTTTCACTTTTGTGTGGTGACGTTTTTTCAAATTTAAGTAAGGGAAGAACATGGAAAGAAAAAAAGATATTATTTATAGATATTTGGATATGGGTGATTGGAGGAGCAGTGTTGTACTCTTCACCTGGATGAGCAGAGATCAAACTTTCCACTTGAGTTTGTCATCTGATTGTATCGAAAATACTTTAATGAAAAGCTTGCTCTTGGGAAGGTGCCCATAATGTGCTCCATGTTTTGTCTGCTTTCGTTCTCCATTTCGCACTTTTACTTCGTTCTTATCTTCGCTCAAACTCTACCATTTCATTAGTCAAATGTTTGATACAAAATTTGACCTTTTATTGTTTTGGCTTATCAAGATTTGTTACGTAGATGCAGAATCGCATGAATAAAACACATAAACGATGAAACTTTTCCTAGATGGGATGCTAAGCATAAATGTCTTTACTAGTTAAATTTGGGATTGTTAAGATAAAATATTAGGACTTCTAGAACTATATTTTTTTAAATTAGATTCTTATTCAAGTGATTATTTTAACTTCCTTAATATGTGATTGCATTTTATTAATGGAAAGGAGTGTTCTCGTGTAACCTTAGGAATATAAACTAATAATATAAAGTTTTAAACAATAAAGTATTAAATTTTATTTTAATCTTACAAATTAATTGATAAAATAAATTTAATATATTACAATTTAATTGTTTTTATCATCAATAAAAAATTAACTTATATTTATTAGAATTGATAAAAATAATAAAATTAAATAATATATAAACACGAAAATTTCACGTTTATTGTCTTTAGATCGAATATAAAGTTATATTGATATTTTATTTTCTAAATATCTTACCTCATGTGATTAAACCAAACAAGACTTTAAAAGATGTTAATAATGATACGAGAAATCATATTTTGAATAAAATTTTTATATTATTTTAAACTATAAATTATAAATTTAATTCTGACTTGTAGAAATAGATTTTTTATTATTTATATATTAAAAATTATTATATTTTTAATCAAATAAGATTTTAACAGAAATAAATTTAAACAAAATTTATTAAAGTCTACTTAATTTTAAGGAATTTAGATATTTGCAGAGTCTCGTGTTAAACTTTGTTCTCACCATTATTCACGAAAAAGAAAAAGAGAAGAATTTGAATAAGAACAGCCATTCGGGAAAGGGACTTGAAAAGTTTGATTCATTGTAAAATTTTGAGGAATAGTACGACAACTCAAAGTTATCATCTAACTCTATTGTAAATATTAAGATATTTGAGAAATTGAGGAAGAATAGGAACGTTCTTTCTAAGACAATAACCAAAATGTTATTTTAGAAGACCTATTGAAAATATCAAGGTTTAGGTAACCTAAAAGGATGACAATGGGATGTTTTTCAAAATAGAATTTAAAGACTTCTTTAAAAGTGAAAATCTCTTAATTAGTTTGAGAAGAAGCTTTAGAAAATTTTGTAGATAAAAGAGATTCTTTAAAGACAAAAAACTCAAAAATAGTTATTAAGGTTATTGAAAAAAAAAGAGAGAATAATATTACTTAATGAGAAAAAAAATCAAAACCATTACTTTAGTATATTAGTTCATGGTAGTTATGACGATGCGCTTTCGTTTCAAGATTCTATCGCAAAGAATTTTATGGGTATGCATTATGTTATCCTAGATGTGTGAATTTATATGTATTATATTCTATCATTTTTCATAAATATTATATTTATTTTTTATAATGTTTGATGTATAATAAAAAAATATTTTAGACAATAATTTGTAGGAAATATAACCTTCTTTGGTCATTTTTAATCATAGGTTGACTAGTAAAAAAAAAAATGTTATTGATATTATATATTCTTCATTAATATAATCATTAAGGGAGAGATCTCAATAATAAAAAAAGTGAAAATCATAATTTCTATTTAATTTAATGATTTTTAAATTTAAAATTAAATTATTTATTAGTTTCAATTTGATTTTACTTTTGTTTTATATAGAGACGGATCAACCTTCATGGGTAGGGACTTGGTCCTCTAGATTTGTTTAATTCATGTTATATATATTCTTCATTAATATAATCATTAAGGGAGAGATCTCAATAATAATAAAAAGTGAAAATAATAATTTCTATTTAATTTAATGATTTTTAAATTTAAAATTAAATTATTTATTAGTTTCAATTTGATTTTACTTTTGTTTTATATAGAGACGGAACAACCTTCATGGTAAGGGACCTTGGTCCTCTAGATTTGTTTAATTCATGTTATATATATATATATATATATATATATATATATATATATATATATATATATATATATATATATATATATATATATATATATATTATAATGTAATTATTTTTATTTTAAAATTAAATATAGAAATAGTACCATTTACTATAATTCATTTTAAAACTATTATATTTTTTTTACAAACTTTACTGTACAGATAATTTTAGTTTTTATCATTTACAGAGAAATTGAAATATTATATATTTTAATTTTTTATAATTTTCTTTTATAATATTGTGATATTATAATTTAAACATTATATATCATTTTAATTTAAAGTAATTCATTAAAATTTTTTTAATATTAATTTGAAAATTGAAAATTATTTACTATGGTATTAGAGATAGCTTAATGGTTAATTGATTATGTTGAATAAATAGTTGCTCGTTATGTATAGTTGTGTTGTTATATGTTTGTTTCTCTTTTTTTTCTTTACAAACTTAACCTCCATATATGCTAAGTTCTTTTTCATTGTAAAGTGAGTTGATCAATGAATAAAAAGATGCATTCTATTATTATAAACTCTAATATGGTATTAGAGCCAGTTTTTTTGTATTGATTTCCACATAATGAATATAAGGTTAGGAACAAAATCTGGTACGCATCAACAAGAGTTAATTTTTAAGGGTAATATTGTCAGAAAATTTTTGCAATCACAATGATTTTATTGGGTAGTTTTATCTAAATAGGTGGTATGGATTTTAAGAAAGAAAAATAAGATTGTGATGAACAGATGTGATCTGTCACACCACTATCCAGAATCTAGGAGGAAAAGGAAGAAATATCACCTGCAGTTTAACAGAGGAACTATGAGTGTGATTTACAGAAGAAGCCCCAAACTTAGATTGTTGAAGAATAACTAAAATGACCTGATATTGTTCTTTTGAGAAGCTGAATTGGTCACATGGAGAACCGTCAACCATTGAAGATTGCTGTGAGGGTGTGACAGATTTTCTATACCCAGAGGGAAACCAATTTTCCAGTAACAGGTTTCAATTGCGTAATTTGTTTTCTTGCAATTTTCACAATATTTCGTGTTTTGATTGGTAGATTTTCCTGGATTGGTGGGCTTGGTTGTTCGAGTCAAATTCTTGAAATTGAGGTTTTTGGAAGAATCATCTAATTGCATAAAGAAGACA